CAGTCTTCAGGAATAATGATCAAGTATTTTGTAGGATGACCCTGTATTAGAATTTATCTGATTGTTTTCCTCATGATTACTCTTTGGTTATGAGTTTTGGGGAGCAAGGCTATAGAGTTAATGTACCATCTTTATTGCATCCTGTCAATGGCATACACTGCCAATATGATTTACCATTGTTCATATTGACCTTGATTACCTAGCTGAGATAGTTTATCAAGTTTCCCCAGAGTAAAGTTACTCTGCTTCCCTCCCCTTCCCCTCAACTTTCCATTCTTCACTCTTTGGGGAGGAAGTCACTATGTATAGCCTACACTAAAGGAGTAGGAATTTATGTTCCCTTTTTTGTGGGCACAGTAGCTACATAAGTTATTTAGAATTCCCATGGGCAGTTAGATTTGTCTTTTCCCAATTTATTTATTGATTCAATCATTTATTTATGTCACTATGGACTCACAGATATTTTATACTTTGGATTATAATCCGGTACTACTTTATTTTCTTGCTCAGATTATTCCAGATTTGGTCACTGGGAGATCTTTCTGCTGGTTTCTATATTCCTTTGACAGCCCCATCAATGTTTGTTTGTTTGTTTGTTTTTAGGACTTTCTTATTTTCTGGCACTGTAAGATGCTGCAGTCTCAGCTTGTTGATTTCCCTCTCTAGTAGCAGAATTAGCCATTTCTCCCAAGAGCCCTGTTTTTTTGTTGTTGGAGAATGACACAGAAATCAAGATCTGGGTGCTAAGTGGGCTCCTTGCTACTGGAGCATCATTGCTTCTAGGCCCTCTGAGCTGACCAGAAAGGAAATATATGTGTGCATACTAACTGTAATGTAGACACTGATTGGGAAATACTTCTGTATCTATATTTAAGTGAATATGAGTTCATGCTGATGTCTCCAACTGATCCATTACCACGTGGATCATCCCTCCTTTGCTTAAATGTAAATTCCCAATCCAACAGTGAGAAACCTGGCTCCCACCATCTGCCATCAATTTGTTTAATTTCAGTATACATGTAAGGCAACAGCAGAATTGTTAATATCAGAATTGTACCCTGTTAAGGCTCAGAAAATGATACCCCAGCGTATGGTCCTTTGGCATGCTGAGAACTTTGAATGAAAGGAAATGGAAAGAACTTAGAAGCTGCTCGAGAATCCAGGCCTGCCTGGCTTTCCCTTGTTCCTTACCCTACTCCCATAAGTGCAGGGAGGGGCTCTCCTCAAGTTCCCTTCTCTGACTGAGGGAAGATCTTCCAAAAGGAATACAATTGTTTTGAGCCTCCTCCCTCAGAATTTCATCAAATAACCAGGAAAGATTTATCAGCAGCAATGAACAACTCCTAGACAAATTTTATTACCTGAGAGACTTTATTTACATAAGACAATATTTGTTCACCATGCAGTTCCTCCCCTTTCCCTCCCATAACTTGTCATCACTTCCCTTCAAGCCCCTATTCGTTTTATGCTATACAGCCTTCAACCATCTGCCCCTCCTTTGAGTCTCATATTCTACGAGACTTTCATGTGCATGGATGTAATTTAAATGGTCTTTCTCTTCTTAATTTGTTTATTGTCAGTTCATTTCAGCAGACTTAGTTATCAAGCCTCCAGAGGGAATGTTTAAACTTCCCTACCACCCCCATGGGAAGCAACTTGTATCAACTAGGAACTGCTTATATGCAGTTTCTTTTGCCTTTAGTCTTACAAACTCCGGTAATTTCCAAAGTTATTTAGATCAGTACCTTTCTCCCCTACTCTCGAGTTTGTTTCCTACATTTGTAATATAGTTATGTTCTCTTGTCACAGTCTGCATTCCTATGTTTCCCTGACTACCTAAATGATTAAAATTGATTACATAAAATTTTGTCCCTTTGTGCAGTAAAGTTCTGTTTTCAAAAATACATAATGTCGTGTATACACCATTACAGTATCATACAGAATTGCTTCATTGCCCTAAAAATCTCCTGTGCTTCACTTCCTCCCCTCAAACTCTGGCAACCACTGATATTTCTATTCTCTATCATTTTGTCTTTTCCAGAGTGTCATATAGTTGGACTCACATAGTATGCAGTCCCTTTGGAATGGCTTCCCTCACTTAGCAGTATGCATTTAAGGTGCATACAGGACTTTTTGTGGCTTGATAGTTCATTTCTTTATCGTTGAATAATATTCCATCATATGGATGTACCAGGTTGTTTATCCATTCACTTATTGAAGAAATGTGTGTTGCTTCAAATTTTAAGCAATTATAACACTTATGAACATATGTGTGGTCTTTTTATGAGTACAAGTTTTCAAGTCAGTTCAGTAAATAACTAGGAGTGAAACCGTTCCAACTCTCCCATAGAAATATTTAAAAGTTTCTGAATAAGTACGAAAATTGACCCTTCAGGTCTTAAAACTTGAAATTTACATTTGTCTCATCTGAGTTCCTTCCTCAGGAAACAGATCCTCAGGCAAAGGACTGAAACTCACCAGATCACCATATCCAAACAATATGCCAGACCCCCTCATTCATAATTGCTTCTTTACCCCTCCTTAATTCCTTCCCTCATTATATATGAGCCTTCCTAATTGTGGTTGGTCAGGGAGACGAATTTGAGACTTTATCTCCCATTCTCCTTGGCTGCAGCACATAATTAAATACGTCTTCCCTGGAAACATTCACCGTCTCAGTGATTGACATTCTGTGTGGTGAGCAGCAGGACTGAACCCCTGTCATTTCGGTAACAGAAGCATGATTGCTGGATCAATTCTAAGGCTATGCCTCGCTCTTTAAGAGCCCACCAAACTGTCTTCCAAAGAGGCTGTACCATGTCACATGTCAACGAGCAATGGAGAGTTCCTGTTTCTCCATATCCTTACCGTCTTTTGGCATTTTTAGTGTTTTCGTTTACTACCATCCTAATGGATGCTAAAGGATAACTTATTGTTTTAAATTGCAATTCCCTGATGACAATGATGTTGAGCACATTTTCATATTCACGTTGATTTTTGGTGAGATTTAAATTCAGATCTTTTGCCCATGTTTAAATTGGGTCATTTGTCTTCTTCTTTTTAAGGTTTTTTGTTTTGAGATGGAGTCTCGTTCCGTTGCCTGGACTGGAGTGCAGCAGCGTGATCTTGGCTCACTGTAACCTCTGCCTCCCAGGTTCAAGTGATTCTCCTGCCTCAGCTTCATGAGTAGCTGGTATTACAGGTGTGTGCTACTATGGAGTTTATTAGTAGAGACAGGGTTTTGCCATATTGGCCAGGCTGGTCTTCAACTCCTGACCTCAGGTACTCTGTCTGCCTTGGCCTCCCAAAGTGCTGGAAATACAGACATGAGCCACTGTGCCCAGCCCCGAGTTTTAAGTTCTTACCTGCCTAATTGTCCTGGCTAGAACCTCCAGTACTATGCTGAATAGAAGTGGTGAGCTTGGAGATCATTTTCTTGTTCCGTTATCTTAGGATAAGAGCTTTCAGTCTTTCATCATTATGTATGATGTTAGTTGTGGGTTTTCATAGATATCCTTTCTCAGGATGAAGTTCCTGTTTATTTCTTGTCTGTTCACTGCTTTTTATCATGAAAGGCTATTGGATTTAGTCAAATGCTTTTTCTGTCTATGGAAGTGATTGGGTACTTACTTTTTGTGAATTATCCTATTAGAATACTGCATTTACTGATTTTCGTATGTTAAGCCAACCTTGTTTTCCTGGGATAAATCCTACTTGGCCATAGTATATGAAATTCTTTTTATATGTTGCTGGATTTCATTTGCTAGTACTTTTTTTTTTGCTCTCTATATTAAAAAGGGATATTGGTATTAGTTTTCTTTCCTAGTAATGTCTTTGTCTGGTTATGGTATCCATGTCTTCCTTTTTTTTTGAGACAGCGTTTCACTTTGTCACCCAGGCTGGATGGAGTGCAGTGGCACAATCTCGGCTCACTGCAATCTCTGCCACCCGGGTTCAAGTGATTCTCCTGCCTCAGCCTCCCAGTAGCTGGGATTACAGGTGCCTGCCATCACACCCAGCTAATTTTTGTATTTTCAGTAGAGATGGGGTTTCACCATCTTGATGAGGCTAGTCTTGAACTCCTGACCTTGTGATCCACCTGCTTTGGCCTCCCAAAGTACTAGGATTACAGGCATGAGCCACTGCACCCAATCGGTATCCATGTCTTCTTTAACTCCTGTGTGTGTGTATATGTGTAACCCTATGCACTCTAAAATGCAGGGCTCAGGGCAGGAACCTCTCTTGCTCAGCTCTAAGCCTTCTGGTCACTTCTTTGTGACTTTTTCTCCTTTAAGTCTGCCATTGAAGGACACTATATCTTAATGTCTATATATATATATATATATATACACCTGAATAGAAGGGAGAACTTTAGGTCACATGCTACAGACAGTTCTCAAGACTAATAATTTACATTTATTGAATACTTTCTATGTACTGAAGCATTGTTCTAACCCCTTTGTATGTGTTAACTCAATCTTCCCAACTAAGGAAACTTTGACTTGGAGAGGTTAAGTGATTTGTTCAATGGTGACACAACGGAGAGTTAACCACATTTTAATTAGTACAAAATTTTCCATTTGGCTAAGAACAAAATCTAACAGCCACTGATATTTCGTGAATAGTAATTTGAAAATTAAGAAAAAAATGTTTAAAGAAAAACTTGGTTTTTCAAGTGTGATCTTTCTTATTCTTGGGCCAAAAAGTTTTGCAAGGTATTTATTTATTTATTTTTAAAATATTTTATTAGAGTCAGTGTCTTATTAAGTTGCCCAGACTGGTTCTAAACTATTGGACTCAAATGATCTGCCTGCTTTGGCCTCCCAAAGTGCTGGGATTACAGTTGTAAGCCACCATACCAGGCCACATTTCTATATTCTTAATGAAGTCCATGGATCTACTTCAAATGCAATTTTAATTTATGTTTTAATTCTATGAAGATACTGGGTTGGTGCAAAACTAACTGCAGTTTTGGACCATGAATTTTAAATCATTATAACTAGGCTCAAACACATTTTTATTAATCAAAATAGGAACCATTACAATCAACACATTTTTGCCAACGAGAAATAAGTTGGTTTATTCCTGTAGTGTAAAAATCCCTGCTTCGGGATTCGATGAACTCTTGGAAAGCATTTTCTGCATCCTGCTGGTTGTGGAAGCGTTTTCCCTGTAAAAAGTTGTTGAGATGCTTGAAGATGTGGTAGTTGGTTGGCAAGAGGTCAGGTGAATATGGCGGATGAGGCAAAACTTCATAGCCCAACTCATTCAACTTTTGAAGTGTGGGTTGTACGACATGCGGTCGGGCATTGTCATGGAGAAGAATTGGGCCCTTTCTGTTGACCAATGCCAGTGGCAGGCGTTGCAGTTTTTGGTGCATCTCATCAATTTCCTGAGCATACTTCTCAGATGTAATGGTTTCACCAGGATTCAGAAAGCTGTAGTGGATCAGACCGGCAGCAGACCACCAAATAGTGACCATGACCTTTTTTTGGTGCAAGATTGGCTTTGGGAAGTGCTTCGGAGCTGCTTCTTGATCCAGCCACTGAGCTGAACGTCGCCGATTATCATATAAAATCCACTTTTCATCACACGTCACAATCCGATCGAGAAATGGTTCATTGTTGTTGCGCAGAATAAGAGACGATGACACTTCAAAACGACGATTTTTTTGATTTTCAGTCAGCTCATGAGGCACCCACTTATCTAGCTTTTTCACCTTTCCAATTTGCTTCAAATGCCGAACAACTGTAGAATGGTTGACGTTGAGTTCTTCAGCAACTTCTCTTGTAGTTGTAAGAGGATCAGCTTCGATGATTGCTCTCAGGTGGTCGTTGTCAACTTCCGATGGCCGGCCACTACGCTCCTCATCTTCAAGGCTCTCATCTCCTTTGCAAAACTTCTTGAACCACCACTGCACTGTACGTTCATTAGCAGTTCCTGGGCCAAATGCGTTGTTGATGTTGCGAGTTGTCTCTGCTGCTTTACGACCCATTTTGAACTCGAATAAGAAAATTGCTCGAATTTGCTTTTTGTCTAACCTCATTTTCATAGTCTAAAATAAACATAAACAGCAAGTAAGAATTAGCCAAAAAACACAAAGCAAGAAATGCCCATTAAAATGATATATTACCTGACCACATTTATTTAAGAAAGTATTCCAATATTAAATACCGAATTCCAACAATGCAAAAACTACAACTATTTTTTTTTTTCTTGAGACACAGTTTCACTCTGTCACCCTGGCTGGAGTACAGTGGTGCAATCTTGGCTCACTGCAACCTCTGCCTCTTGGGCTTCAGCGATTCTCGTGCCCCAGCCTCCCAAGTAGCTGGGACTATAGGCATGCGCCACCACATCTAGCTAATTTTTATATTTTTAGTAGAGATGAGGTTTCCCCATGTTGGCCAGGTTGGCCTCAAACTCCTGATCTCAAGTGATCTGCCTGCCTCAGCCTCCCAAAGTGCTGGGATTACAGGTTGTGAGCCACTGTACCTGGCCCCATCTTTTAAAATTAGAATCTTATAATTTATAAAAATGTTGCCATTTTATCATGGAATAATAGTCAAGTGGATGAAAATTTTTAAATGTTTTCTCTTAACAGAAGTGCCAGCATTCTCAAGAATACGCAATGAAGCAAACAAATGCAGTTAACTTGCTGCTGAGATTAGAAAAGACTTGGAATAAAGACTCTTTGACTCTTACCTTGGGAATGTGGTTTCTAGGACTAGGTGCTAAATAAGAATAAACTAGTGCCTGAGGACAAAAAATTTCCATGGGTCCATATTCACTCAGTTGTCTGTCTGGCAGAGGCACTGAGTTGGAGGAGGCTGTTTGTGTACTTGTCTCTAGAGTATACATTTTATGATTACTCTAGTACTGTTTGTTTGCAGGGAACCATTCCACATGTTATATGAACATGTAAATCCTAAGATACTTAAAAACAACCCAGCTTTATTGAGATATAATTCGCGTGCTGCACATTTCACTCATTTAAAGTGTACTATGTACTTATATTACAGAGGAATAGTATTATATATAATATGGATTCCTATAACGTTTAGAGTGCAGGGCCTCCTAGTGGTCGGGTTTAAATGTACTAGAGAAGAAATTAAATTACTTAATAATATCATAAGGCTCTAGTAATTATTTTAGCTTTCAAAATGTCTGATAAACCTCCATAGTAACTATATTTTTGTAACATCCTTGCTTTAAGAAGGTAGTTAGAGATGGTTGCTGCTCTAGTAAGTTTAAATGGGATTATAAAACTCTCATCTTCTTCCGCGGTGTTGACAGGGTTATTTTTCTGGTTTTTATACATGAAGTAAGGCTGTCTGAAGTTTTGAAGCATAACTTCACAAGCTTTGGAATACAGCCAAATACATAATGAAAAATTTACAATGTGTCATTTTCATGGTTATATTTTTCACTACTGGTGGTAATTGTTAGGGTTTTAGCAGGTGATAGTTAATAATGCCTTTTTCTTGATCTATGCTTAGCAACAAGTAAATAGGATGCAGGAGTCAGCCAGACAGAAATCCAAATATCAGCGTTATTACTGTTAAAATTTGTTGGAAAGCAGGGTTTAGGTATGCAGCCACAAGGGTTTTCTTGGATCATTATGATTAGGTTTGATGTGAGTGGTAGAAAACTTACAGCAACAGTGGCTTATACAAGGGAGAGACTATTTTTCATCTGCAAGTACAAAGATGTCAGATCATGACTGGCAGGATGTTTTCTACAGCACCAGACACCTAGACTCCTTTCAACCTTGTTGATTTTCTATGCGATAACTTCCTTTCCCAGAATCATCCTGGGGTTTAGGATGACTGCTCCAGTTCCAGTCATCATGTATACATTCCAGCCAGCAGGAAGAAAAAGGAGGTGATGGGCAGGATATCTCCATTTAAGGACTTGTCAGTTTTGCTTATATCCCGTTAGCTAGAACAGTTATTTAGACAAATCTTACTAGGAAAGAGAGTATTCTGGGTAGTCATGTATGTACTCAGGTTAAATGGAGAATTCTATTACAGAAAGGGAGAAAGGATACTGATGGACAACTTGTAGTCTCTGCCACATTCCTGACTTAAACTTACGTAACTAGGCAGAGGCAAAGGTAGCCAACCACTGTCTTCCCCAAGACGGAGGGGCAAGCTGCTTATCACTGAATAGACTCACCTCAAGGGTCAATCGCTTGCAGGAGGGGAACACAGAAGGGGCTGAGCCACACATGCTGGGTTCCTTGTCATTTCCACAACTGATGTTCGACTTTTCTAAGGGGCAGTACAGAGAACTGTCAAAAGGCAGGAAAGCAGTACATGATTTGGCACCACAGTAACAAGGTTTTCTTAGTTTCCCATTATCTAGCCTTTCTTTGTCTTCACTGCCTGTTAGATTAAGGTATCTTCCTGAATAATCATAAGAGAGTTCTTCTTCTGGCACAATGTCTTTCGCTGCAAAAAGTGCCAACTTAGGTACCATTGAATCAATTCGGACAGGAATCATCAACAGGTTTGGCTCACAAGAATGATTGAGGAATCTTCCAATATTTCCTATAAAAGTAGGGTCGACAAATGTTTCTATTATCTGCCCATTATAAACATGTTCCCTGATGGCTATAATGTAATTGGAGTCGGAATTTCTTTGTAAGTGAATTCTTCTCTGAACTTCAGAGAATCCTAAAACCTCACCAGCATATTCACAGACAAACCTTCCTTTTGGTATAAATTCCAAGGTACGAAGTCCCCAGCCTTTTTTATGCGTCTTGAATACTTGGAAGTGGAACTGCAGGCCTTTCTGGACCACTCTGTTTCTGCAGTGGTCACTGCATCGGCACAGGACATTGCATTCAAAAACAGGCTCGGCATACTTTCCTCCAGATCCTATATCTCTAAGGCATGAATTATCATCATAGTTCTCTCCATGGCGGAGACAGGAGCAAGTGCCAGGGAGGCAGGGAGTTTTGACACAAATGCATCCAGGAAAGGTTATTTGAGTGGGGTCAATGTCTGCTCCAGGTCCAACTACATGATCGGGAGTGTACTGTAAAAAATATACACACTGTAAGTCAGTACGACATATCATATATTTCCTATATATTCCAAGTAGCTTTTGACTGGGACCCATTCTAATTCTAATATATATAAAAACAGGACAAAACTGACAAAACACAACGTACTAAGGTATTGTCCAAAAAGATCTCTCTCCCATTAAAAAAGGTTTGTTTTGTTTTGTTTTAAGAGACAGGGTCTTTCTCTGTTGCACAGGCTGGAGTGCAGTGGTGTGATCATAGTTCACTATAACCTGGGCTCAAGCGATTCTCCTACCTCAGCATCCTTAGTTGCTACAGCTGCAAGTGGGAGCCACCATGCCCAGCTAAGATTAATTTTTAGAATTTGTGGTTTTATTTTAGGCAAGTATGAGTTGAGTATTATATTATATAATACCTAATGCATATAACAGTATGTTATATATAGGTACACATAAGAAAATATATATTTATTTATGTATTATTATGTATTTATAAGGACCATGGGAAATACACTATTTTTTTTCTTATCAGAAATGGAAAGCTTTGTAACTTATTTTGTTTCCCTCTTAGCTTTGGATGGCAGAAAACTCAGTGCTGAATTTGGTGCCTGAGTACAATTAAGTATTTTATCCTTAGCTTTTGATCTCTTTTACCTTTGCCTGATAATACACATGCATATATGTATTTTAATTGTGAGTTACCTCAGATACTGGATGGGGATAGGAAAGTCATAAATGACAAGTCAATTGCACACAGAATTCCAAAAATGTTACTTCTTAGATATTACTAGATATCTAAATTTATTATAGATGTACACTTGTAAAGAAATTCTGTTCTAATTAAATGAGAAAGGGATAATATAAAACAAATTCTATCATTTAACTGTACCTATTATTTTCAAAACATTACATTTATAAAATTTTATGTAAAAAGAAGACAGTCTTCAATCTAAACTCTCTATGTGAAGCCCGATCTCTGGTTAGATCCTTATTAGTATCCTGAAGCATATTTTCAAACTCTGATTTCAGATTAAAGTATCTCTCATGAACCCAGCAGATTTCTTTATGTATACAGTAACTCTTGCTTACACAGAACCCAATCCATTTTATACCAGCTTTGTTCCATAAAGGACTTAATGAGACTTAAAAACAGGTAAGATAAATGAACAAGGAGAGTAAGGTGAAAGGGAAATAAGAGGAAACTAGTCCAGTGAGCTTAGACACACAAAGCGTTTGGTAGAAGTAGACTGGACTTTTGCTCTGCCTGAGAGCTGCCACTTCAGAGAAGAATATAAGGTTAGATGTGCAACTTGCACTGCCTGTAAGGAATAGTATCGTTGTTCAGAAGTGGCATTGACTTTTTTCAGTATTAATACCAGGAAGGAATTTCACCAATGTGTTCTTCTAAACCATTGTTTTCCAGGAAGCAGTTTCATGGCTGTTTTTTATTCTGGTCCTCAATAAAAGCTGCTGGGATCACAGCACAGCCAGGTAAGAATCGTTCTTTCTGCAAGGCAACAGTTGCATGGCCTTTCATTGGGGATAGACTTTAAAGCACCTGGAGGAATGTTTGCATCACATCTTCCAGTCAATCCTCCATTAATATTCTGTCTCCAGGCCAAGCTTTAGAAAGGTATTGAACAGCATGTAGTTATACTCCCTGTGGAGGCCTAGGGTGGAGCTATGTAGTTCTAAAGTGCAAAACCCTATACTCTAAAAAACTCTCCGCTGGGGAGGATTGACATCCTCTTGTGAAAGATGAGGAGGACAACCAGTGGGAAGACCTGTAGGGGAAGGCCGACATTCTGCTTAAAAAGTGATTTGTGGGTAGAGAGAGAAAACAGCTTTTGTTTGTGTTGTTTCTTACAGCTTTAGCTTAGCAGGAATATCCTAAAGGGATAAAGGATGGCTTAGAAAAAGATACTCTATCAGTCAAACTCAACGACTGCTGTTTTATACAGAATCTACTTTCAGCTTTTTAAAGGTTAAATGTTAAAATGTAAAACGGTTGCTAAGACATTTTTAAAAGTACCTGTAAAATGAAGATCTCTTTGTTAAACTTTTAAGTTGATTTGTCATTAACGGTGCACATATTTTTAAGGTACTATATAAATCACTAAACGCTAAAGTTTTTTTTTTTTTTGACATGGATAACTTTTAAAATCAAGTCTGACTTACTACACTTTTCTGATCAGGAGAGCAGGTGAAAAACAGTTTTATCTGCTTATTTTTACTTAAAAATTTAAAAAGATTTTGGAGAATCTCATATTTTTAAAAATTCTGCAATTAATCTTGCTGTACAATCTAGAATCCTTTAGGGACTTAGATTACAGATGGTAGCCAATTGCAAATGATCTGCAGGTACCTTCCAAAAGATAACAGAGACTTCTGGGAAAATTTCCCATTTAAAGGTATCTTTCCCCTTGATGGATATAACCTGATACATCCTGATACCAATAATCATTGTGAATCATTTTATGTTGATGTTTCCATTTTCTTCTCCATAAAAGGTCAGTAAAATATCGTTTCAGAATGATACTTAAAAAAATGACTATACTCAAGAATAATCTTTTGAAAACCTTAGCCTAATTTAACATCTGATTATGTAATTATCCATCTTTTCAGGTATTTACATATGGAAAAGCTATTTATTCTTTTCAGAAATAATGTGAGGTCACTGCCCTGACATTCTGTTCAAATATTTATATGCCAGATGGTTAAACTTTGAGTATAGTCATGTGCTGCATAATGACTTTCTGGTCAGACTGCATATATGCATATACAGTGGTAGTTCTGTAAGATTAGAATACAGTATTTTTATGTATGTTTTCTATGTTTAGCTATATAAACACCACTGTGTTACAAGTGTCTGTAGTATTCAGTGTAGTAACATTCTGTGCAGGTTTGCAGCGTTGGAATGATAGGGTATTATTATATAGCCTAGGTGTGTAATAGGCTATACCATCTAGGTTTGTCTAAGTACTGTGCACTCTATGATGTTTGCAAAATGACGAAATTGTCTAATGACGCATTTCTAGGAATGTTTCCCCAAAGTTAAGTAATAATTGTATCTGAAATATAATTGTATTTGAAAGCTAATGTAAAGTGGGTTACAAACTAGGAGTCAGCTGATACGATTTAAGCCAGACTTCTGCCGAAACAATTAGGGATGAGACATTCTGTTTCTGCTAGAATTGTTTAACTATAGTGTTTGCCTGGCATTTCCAAGTTCTGCCACATAGATGAGGCCTACGGAGTGTGTAGCCTACCACAGAAAGAGGAAGCAGGGGTGCGAAGGGGGAAGAGGGTGGGAAGAAATATCTGACAATACTTTTAGAGTTACTGGGACCAGACATGCCACATTTGGATTTTTCTGATTTGAGGCAATTCCTTCCCTTTTTTGTTGGGGCCAGTTGTGTTGTGTTTATGTTTCTTGCAAACAATTTAGTCCTGACTGATACACCCTGGGTACAAGTTGAAAATGGTTTCAGGAAATGGCTAGAAAAGGTAGTCTGTTAACCAAAATTCTAAGTTCCCTGACCGTCTGACCTCCTCTCAGCAAGGGCTTTCCAAAGCTAACCCAAAAAACTAGTTCAGATCATGATGGGAAAGGGGAGGGGGTCAGACAGACCTCATTATACGCTCTTCCCTTTTGGAATTACTGATAGAACAGACTCTTAAGCCTGATAAAAAACATTTACAATCCTATTCTCTCTAAAGCCTGCTATCTGGAGACTTCACCTGCATAATAATAAACCCTTGGTCTCCACAACCCCTCATCTTACCCTAGGCAATCCTAAGTGTTTAGACAATAACGATTCCTTCAAGCAAACTGTTACTCAGAAACTGGAAGCTTCTGTTTCCAGCTGTCCTGCCTTTCTGGAATGAACTAATGTACATTATAGATGTGTTTGACCGGTATCTCATGTCTTCCTAAAATGTATAAAACTAAGCTGTATCCCAACCACCCTGGGTACATGTTCTCATGATCTCCTGAGGGCTGTGTCATGGTCCATGGTCACTCATATTTGGCTTACATAAGTCTCTTCAAATATTTTGTAGAGTTTGACTCTTTTTATAGACAAGTCAAAGATGTAAATGGTCAATGAACAAAGATGTCTTCAGTTGGGATGTTAAACTAGAGCAAAGTGTGGAGGAGGCCAGACAGGAAAACCCTGTGCCTATGGTTTTCAACTGTGAGGAAGCAGTGGAGAGCTTCCTAGTGCAGAACATGGCATGCTCTAAAGGAGACAAAAACACAGCCAGGCTCTTATTAGCACTGTGACTCTGGAGGAGTGACTTGCTAGGCTTCAGATTAGTAGCTATAAGACAAGGATAATACCCCGATTGGGGGTGGGTATCATGAAACTTAGATGAAATAATGCTACACTCCATGTCAGGCACTTTATAAAAATACTAGCTTCTTCCAGTTCTCTAGATATGACTTTTAGATGTTATATTTAAAACAACATTATGTTTCTGTCAAATTACTTAACATAACTAAACATCTTCGTATCTATTTCATAGGTTTCTGTGAAAGAAAAAATATGACAGAACTGGCTTAAAAAGCTTACTCTAGGGATTAGCACATAAGTGTTCAATTAAAATTTTGCAGGTAGTACATAGTAGGGTAGTGAAGAAAATAAGTTCTGGACTTAAACTTCCCACATTCAAACATATTCAAATCAAAATTGTGTCTCGGAAGCCAATGGACTGTATACCTATCCTCTATTACTTCTCCATTTGAGTGGGAGAAAAGCTAAGAGCTGACCCCAGACTTCTTTCATTTATCAAATATTACCTTACTGTCTGCAATATGCACATGCTGGAATTTACAAACAGTGAGGAAAATATAAAGAACATGGAAAATGGTGTTTTTTTGTTTTTGTTTTTTTTTTTTAAAGACACTGCTGCCCAGGCTGGAGTGCGGTGGCATGATCATAGCTCACAGCAGTCTCCAACTGCTAGGCTTAAGGTCAGCCTCCTTAGTAGGTGGGACTACAGGTATGCACCATCATGTCTGGCTAATTTAAAATAAAATGTTTTTGTAGAGATGGGGTCTCACTTTACTGCCCAGGATGGTCTTAAACTCCTGACTTCAAGTGATCTTCCTGCCTTGACCTCCGAAAGGGCTGGGATTACGGGAGTAGGCCACTATGCCTAGCTGGGATTTTTATCATTTCCTGCATTGTTACAACATGTTTTACTTTTTCTTTGTATGTATCAAAGCACAGAATTACTCCTGCAAGAGCTGGGAATAAATGCAAAATGATCAGGGCAAAATGATATATGGGAAACTATATCCTTGAAGCACTGGGTGAAGATTCAAGTTTTTTGACAGAAAACTTAAGAGAAAATACATTCTTGTCTTGGCCATTTTTGTCTGCAATAATTTCTTTCTTCTCTGAACTAGACTTATACTTACTGTTAATAGCCTGAACTTCAGTACCTAAATGACACAGATTGTAGGGCTCTCTAACTGTGTTAAATGTGTAGGTCTTACCTTTCTAACAGATATCTGTCTCAGGGAAAAGCATGGTGATGGGGGTGGGTTTCCTCTCCATAAGAGTAGGCACAGAGCAGGTGCTCAAAAAGCATTTTTTGATTGCTTGATTGCAGCTCCTGATATGTGTTAACTAGAAGTTTGACTTTTCTGAATCATATTCTGTACTGAAGCCCTAGAAACTGAAGTATGGCACTTTAATATTCAAGGTTTAAAACCTGGGCCTCTGAATTATAAGGAAGTGCTATGAAAATCTTCATTCCTTTTTTGGTTGTGTTGGAACCCAGCTACAAGAATCTTTGTACTTGGCCCCTAGCCTCATTAAGTTTGTTTTTCCTCCAAGCAGCTATTAGAAGACTGTGAGGCAGATAATTCTTGTCAAGGCCTGTTGAAATCTTAAAAATAATGTTTGAAGCTGGTTTCAGAGACCTGAAAATGGTTAGATCCAACTGTTAGCTCAAGAAAACAGTTTATTTTCAACTTAGCTTTCAACACTGATGACATTATGATATACTTGTTTCCAATATGAACATTTGAATTTCTTTTTGGCTTTTCACACAGTAGCCAAAAGCAAAACAGACACAAAGTTATTTTTATCTTGAAATTTTTTCATGCCTTAATTCTTACGCGTGCATATGCCTGCAAAGGTAGGGTTTAGAGCAAGCAAGCTGTTTTGACCTTTTATAAGACCGGTTTTGTGTTCCATGAATACATGGAAGAAAACAAGTTTAATGCACTTTTAGGCTTGTCACTTAAATGTTTCAAGCATGTTTGATCTTCTTGGTAAGAAAGACAGTAAGCTCTCTTACGAAGGGATCCTGTCTTACTTTTGTAACTCTAACTGTATTGCGAGCTGTGCATATACAGAGACAGTTAGAACACTGTGGGTCTAAGTTTTAATCCGCCGATTTTCATTTTTGCCCACCAACTGTAGGTGTAACAATCAATCACAAAGCTTCCTCTTGTCACTTCTTTCTCCCCTTTTAAAAAGAGATGTATTTTATTTTAATCTACACTTTGTGAAATATTTTTAGTAGAGATGGGGTTTCACCATGTTGACTAGGCTGGTCTTGAACTCCTGACCTCAGGTGATCTACCCACACTGGCCTCCAAAAGTGCTGGGATTACAGGCGTGAGCCACTGCACCTGGCCAAAAACTATTTGTTGAATTCAGAATGGACCTGGACTAGAACAGTGCTTCGCACCCCGCCAAGTTAAATACCTCTAGCTTTTTTTAAAGCTAATGTTTTCTATATCCTCTTGTAAGCTCAAGGGCAGGAATTACAGGCACTCAATTGTTGAAAAAGAAAAGGTTTATCAGTGTTTTTGACTATGAACTCAGCAATGCTTAGTCCTGAGTAAGTTTTCAGGGAAACTGTTTAATATTTGGCTAGCCAACTGTATTATTAACCATAAATTGCTAAAGGTAGCCTGGGGAACAATAATGATTTCTGATGTTAATATCGTATTCTACTCTTCGAGGACTAAACTGATTTTTTTTTAATTTTTATTTTTATCTTGCCCAAATTCCTACTTAAGGGGTCTGGAGAGTCATGCCCTACAAACCATGAAGTCTCATCAGAGGGGTTTTAATTTTAATCCTATATAGCGTGGTCTGCTTTCTAACCTGACTCTGACATAATACCACATAACAAATAAGGGAAGACATAAAAATATTTTAACCCCAAATATACTTCCTTGCTGTATCTTGAAATTGCCCTGCAGGGTTATCTCCTGTGAGAAAAATCCATATTCTATAGAGAATCCCCTTTACCCATTTTTCTTTTTCTTTCCACAACCTAGAGATAATCAACTAAGAGTGAGGCACCTTTTAAAGTTCAATAAGAAACATTTTACAACCTATTCCATCTTAAGTCAGCTATCTGAGAGTTTCCTCTGCACAGTAAAACTTGATCTCCACGTGGCCAGGTGTGGTGCTCACGTCTGTAATCCCAGAACTGTGAGAGGCCAAGGCAGGCAGATCATTTGCGGTCAGGAGTTTGAGACTAGCCTTGGCAATATGGTGCAAAGGTGCATTCAATGAATATTTGAGTAAATGAGTATAAAAAATATAGAGAGTTGGCTGGGTGTGATAGCTCACTCCTGTAATCCCAGCACTTTGGGAGGCTGAGGTAGGCAGATCACAAGGTCAAGAGATTGAGACCATCCTGGCCAACACAGTGAAACACTGTCTCTACTAAAAATACAAAAATTAGCTGTGTGTGGTTTGCGGGCACCTGTAATCCCAGCTACTCAGGAGGCTGAAGCGGGAAAACTGCTTGAACCCAAGAGGTGGAGGCTGCAGTGAGCCAAGATAGCACCACCACACTCTACCCCGGGTAATGGAATGAAACTCTGCCTCAGAAAAAAAAAAAAAAAACAACAAAAACCTTTTATCTGAACCTAAACATTTCTTTTCTGTTGATCTTCAGATAAACTCAGGTCTTCAGATAAACTCAATAACTTCAGGTCTTCAGATAAACTCAATCAATTGTTAACCAGAAAAATTTAAAATCTACCTGTAGTCTGGAAGCCCCCCTTCCACTTTGAGTTGCCCCACCTTTCTGAACCAAACCAATGTACAATTTAAATATATTTGATTGATGTCTCCTGTCTCCTAAACATGTATGAAACCAGGCTGTGCCCTAACCACCTGGGACACATGTTCTCAGGATCTCCTAAGGGCTGTGTCACGGGCCATGGTCATTCTTATTAAGCTAAGTCTCTTCAAATATTTTACAGAGTTTGATTTTTTTTTCCTCCACATCTTTGAAAGCTGCTGTTGAATCTACTATCTTATCTCACCCTGACAACGACCCTAAGGAAAATGAAAGGGCAGACAGGGTTCAATGTTGATAAAGGATGTTAAAACGGTTATGCATTTTAAAATTATTATTTTCGTTTTACAGATGAAGAAAATCAGGCTCTGGGAAGTAGCCAAAATGGCTAAGCCCTGAACCAAGCTTTCCAACCTCCACATATGCTCTTTCCACTTCGAAATCTTTGGTTATTCCTTATTCCTTAGGATGCGCTCAGGCCAAGATCATAAGAAAGAGTAGAAAGGGCTTTAAGATAGTTAATAGCAGCAAATATTTACTGAGTTCTTACAGCAAACCAGAGTGTATTTTCTTTGCAATATTCCAAGCAATCCGGAAGAGTGGTACTTTTCTTTTCTTTTTTTTTTTTTTTGAGACAGAGTCTCTCTCTGTCGCCCAGGCTATAGTGCAAGTGCTGCGATCTTGGTTCACCACAACCTCCACCTCTCAGATTCAAGCGATTCTCCTGCTTCAGCCTCTCGCAGCTAAAAAAATTGGCTGCGCCTCCAGCTACCCATGCCCAGCTAATTTTTTTGTATTTTTAGTAGAGACGGGGTTTCACCGTATTAGCCAGGATGGTCTCCATCTCCTGACCTCGTGATCCCCCGCCTTGGCCTCCCAAAGTGCTGGGATTACAGGCATGAGCCACCGCGCCCAGCCCAGGTACTGTTATTTAAACTGTACACTGAAAGACTCTAAGGCTTAGCCAAAGCTACTTTATACTCGCCCAAGAGCCCACAGCATGAGGGAAACCACAGCTAAAGCGGCCTCGAGGGACGAAGGTTTTATGCACGACACTGGGTGCGATCTACTAATAGGCCCCATGGCTTGTCCTACCTATGAGAGACACCTGAGACCAGAGAAGTAAATGACTTCCCCCTTGATGCCTGCTTGAATTCTAAGGACAGAACTTGGACAAAAAGCCAGGTTCTCACGAGGCCCCTGGTTCTGCGCTTCAGGTAATGGCGTGAAAAGGACAACACCCTTGCTAAGGTCATGCGGTGGGCTAACAGAAAAAGGCCGAGGCCTGGGCATGCACACCTATTCCCCAGCACCAACAGGTGTGCTACAGGAGAAGACTAAAGGTATTCAGAAGACAAAAGGTCGCGATTAGGAGGCCGCCCGGGGGAAGCCGCTAGAGAAGGAGACCACGTGGGGTAGTCGCGCGCCCGCGTCCCGCGCTGCCTGGCCCCGCCCCTACCTGGAAGGGCGCCGGCGCGGTCCCCGGGGGCCACGCGCCCACCGGTAAGTTTTCCAGGCCGCAGGCGACATCCAGCTGCTCCATCGGGGCCTCAGGCTTCTCCTCAAACTCCGCCATCCCACAAGGCCGCGTCTTCTTCGCCGCTTCCGAGAACATTTACCAGCTGCACTCAGCGCCTACTACCCTGACAGGCCTGGGCCGCGCAGAGGATGCTGGGACTTGTGGTCCCGTGGACCCACCGCCTCATGGGATTTGTAGTTCTCAGAGTGGCCTGTGAGGGCGCTTCTCTTCCGTGACTTTTTGGGTCTGGCTCCCGCTTTGATTTGAGCCAGAGGTACCACAGATAATTACAAAGTCATGTAAGGTACGGACAAAACGAAGTGAGGTGCTTTATTTTTTTACTAGGAGCATCAAAGAGGGGGCTATGGAGGTGAGGTCATTTGTCCAGGTTTTTGAGGGCTCAGTGGACGTTTGTGGAGTGGAGGCAGGGGTGCATTCTAAGCAGAGCAGGGAAATGCACACCAGGATTTCTAACTATTTGCTGCTTTCCAGGAAGGTGGCGGACTTGTGATAGGGTTTGCGCCCAGGTGATAGCCTCTCAGGGTGCCTTCAGGAATTTGTGTGGGGCGCGCTCACTCCCTGATGGAGAGATCTGTGCCCCTTCGCCTGTCCTTCCCCTCCTCTCCAGCCCTCTACCCTTGCCCCTCAAAACCCCTGCCCTGCCAGAGGATTCTGATAGCTTCAAGACTGCTGAATACGGTGGAGCATTTTCAACCTTCCTGAAGCGCTCTGACATGATTGTCCTGCTTCTCCTTGAAACTGTAAACCAGAAATAAAATTTCAAGCCCTCCAACCGTCTGAATGGACCCATCCTCTCTGCCAAGGTGAACCTGAGAAACTGGTTCAGGCCTTGATGGGAAGGGGGTTCCAACATGCTTCATTATGTCCACCTCCCTTTTGGAATTCAGGAAAGGCCAGCCAGCATCAGCATCAACACAGACCTTAAGTCTGAAAAAAAAACATTTACAATCTGTTCTCTCTGAAACCTGCCTCTTGGAGCCTTCACCTCCATGACCAAATTTGGTGTCCACAACCTCTTACTGCAACTCAGACATTCCTTTCTATTGATTCTAGGTCTTGAGATAATAACCACTTGCAATCAGAAAATCTTTAAATCTACCTGTGACCCGGAAGCCACCCCTCAGCCACTTCTAGCTATCTGCCTTGCCCGACCCAACCAATGTACATCTTACATGTATTGACTGATGTATTATGTCACCCTGAAATGTGTGAGATTAAGCTGTATCCCAACCATCATGGGAATACAGATAGGTAAAGGACCCAGATTTGACTTCTTTCCTTAGTCTCAGGAGTGCCTTAGGCTAAGTCAGGGGCATTCTTTTTTTTTTTTTTTTTTTTTTTTTTTTGAGACGGAGTTTCGCTCTTGTTGCCCAGGCTGGAGTCCAATGGCACAATCTCAGCTCACCGCAACCTCCGCCTGCTGGGTTCAGGCAATTCTCCTGCCTCAGCCTCCTGAGTAGCTGGGATTACAGGCACGCGCCACCATGCCCAGCTGATTTTTTGCATTTTTAGTAGAGACGGGGTTTCACCATGTTGACCAGGATGGTCTCGATCTCTTGACCTCCTGATCCACCCGCCTCGGCCTCCCAAAGTGCTGGGATTACAGGCGTGAGCCACCATGCCCAGCCCGTCAGGGGCATTTTTAACCTTGGGGAAAATAAACTTTTTAAATTGATTGAGACCTGTCTCAGGTACTTTTGGGTTCAAAATTCCTCTGACTTTGCAGCTTCTGATGTCCCACTGGCCTAAATGTGTTTCCATCTTGCAGACCTTTCCTACTTAGTATCCTTTTGTTGTTCTCCTGCCTAACTCTTTCTGAAAAGTGGGTGCAATTCAGGGTTCTGCCCTTGACCTTTTTCTTTGCTCCCCTTCCCTGGATTTTCTCATTAATAACATCCACTTCCATGGTTTCAAATATAAAGGATTAGGTCACCAGTCTCCAACCTGGACCAGACATTTCTTCTCAAATCCAGTTATGAATATTCAGCGAATGATTGGGCATTTCTGTTTTCTCTCCTACAGGCTCCTCGAGCTCAAAATGATATGAATTGAATTCTTCTTCTGCCAATCTTGCTTTTTCTTCTTTAAAATTAACTGGGAAAATACTTTCTCTGTGATCTACAGAGCCGCCAAAGTAACAAACCAGTTTCCTTGTATTCCTTCTCTTTCTTAGTCTCCTATAGCTAAGGACATGGTGGCTATGTCTTATTGATTCTGCCTTCATGATGTTTTCATTTTTGTTCCTTCTCACTTAGTCCTAGGCTCTCTCATTTCTTGCTTGGACTTTGGAAGTAATTTTCTTTATGTCTGTCATTCTCCATACTCCCAAATCACAGTTGCTGCTGCTACAATGACCTTTGTAGATACTTGTCCAGTTATTATATTTTGCTGCTTAAGGTACTGCTTGCTCTGTTTTCTTTCAAAGTTTACCCTCTACATTCTGCCTTACAAGATTTTGAGGACCCAGACTTTACCTATTTCCTTGGTCTCTGTTGCTGCTGTTCTCTGTTGGAACCCCTTGTTTCTATTGACATTCCCTCAACAAGCCATTCTACCTGGGTCTCTGGGCCTTTGTCCACATTGTTCTTGCATCTCCATTGCCTTTACCCAGGACTGTCTGTCTGCTCAGCTCAAGTGGTCTCTCTACAGCCGTCCTTACCCTGTTTCCTGTAGCGAGAATTACCCTCTTAACACTAGATCTACTTTATAAGCCATTTCTTATGTTCCCTGCAACTATTTAATGTAAGCACAGGCAAAGCTGTCTTAATGAATTCATTATATATATATATATATATATATATATATATATACACACACACACATATATATACATATATATGTATATATATGTGGAGGATGGGGAGATAGAAACATTTTGTTTTAACTTAAATGATTTTGGTACATTTATATGTTAGTCTTCTGATGTAGGGCTGAGAGAGAGAGAGAGAGAGAGAAAGAGAGAGAAAGAGAGAGAGAGAGAATGGGAGAATGTATGTCTCTGTGTGTGTGTTTTCTACTGATTAGAGCTCCAAGTCAAGCTTATTCAGAGTTCCAGTTTTCGTGTCTTTAAAGAGAGGTAGGAACTAAAGGATAGTGAAGCAATTTGATACCATGATCTGTTTTCTTTTCCCGGTCTTTTATACTTTTCTCACTCCCAGCCACTTCAAGGGCAAAACATTTTTTAGTGACTTGTTTTTTTTTTCTCCAAGTCTTTACAATGTTTTACTTTAGAATGTTCTACTTAGTTTTCCCAGAAGGGAGAAACTCTTTGCACTCACAGTTCATCACTTTTTCATAAAATTATAATAACAGTTATACCTGGCATTAATAGGTTTGGGAACAGAAACTAAAGATCAGGCTTATAAATGTGCTATTCATGAGCACGTAATGAAAATCACATAATTTTGCCCTGCAGTACACATATTATATAAAAACTTTGTTTGAGAGCAGGTTTAAAGGACAAGATAGGTATGTTAGGCTGTTCCTGTATTGGTGTAAAGAAACACTTGAGGCTAGATAATTTATAAAGAAAAGAGGTTTAATTGGGTCATGGTTCTGCAGGCTGTACAGAAAGTATGGTGCTGGCATTTGTTTGGCTTCTGGGCAGGCCTCAGGAAGCTTTCAGTCACAGTAGAAGGTGAAGAGGAAGCAGGCATCTCACATGGTGTGAAAGCAGGAATAATGAGAGAGCAGAAGAGAGTGGGGGGTTTGGGCAGGTGCCACACACACTTTTAAATGACCAGATCTTGTGAAAAATAACTCACTGTTGTGATGACAGCACCAAGGGGATGGTGGTTTAGCACCCATGGGTTTAATGAGAAACCCGTCCCCATCATCCAGTCATCGCCTACCAGGCCCCACCTCCAACACTGGGGATTACATTTCAACATGAGACTTGGATGGGGACAAATATCCAAACTATATCAATAGGGAATTTGTTCTATGTAGAAAACAATCAAAATGTCAGCATTAGGGCAGGCGTCCCCAAACTTTTTACACAGGGGGCCAGCTCACTGTCCCTCAGACCGTTGGAGGGCCGCCACATACTGTGCTCCTCTCACTGACCACGAATGAAAGAGGTGCCCCTTCCTGAAGTGCGCCGGGGGGCCGGATAAATGGCCTCGGGGGGCCGCATGCGGCCTGTGGGCCGTAGTTTGGGGACGCCTGCGTTAGGGGCACAGTATCTAAAATCAGCCATGACTACATTCATATCCCTACTCTGCAAATTTCTAACCATGGGAAATAATAGCTAATTGAATTGAGTTATTATTATGTACCAGATATTTTTATTTTTTAATTTTTATTTTTTGAGACACGGCCTCGCTCTGTCACCCAGGCTGGAGTGCAGTGGCGCAATCTTGGCTCACTGCAACCTCTGCCTCCCGGGTTCAAGCAATCCTCCTCCCTCAGCCTGTTGAGAAACTGGGATTACAGGCATGTGCCACCACATCCAGCTAATTTTTCGTAGTTTTAGTGGAGTTGGGGTTTCACCAAGTTGACCTGGCTGGTCTCAAACTTCTGACCTCAAGTGATCCACCCACCTTAGTCTCCCAAAGTATTGGGATTACAGGCATGAGCGACTGCATCTGGTCCAGATATTGTTTAAACATTTCATATGTACAAATTAATTAATATCCACAACATGGTACTTAAAACACCCACCACAGGGTCATTTTAGATTCAACTTTACGTTCAGGTTCACAGGTTCACTGGCCACACTTGGCATCAGCTTTGCTCAAGATTATAGGACAAGAGCCAAAGCCTACCAGCAGAGAGGCCTGAGGTGTTCCTCTTCCATGGGAATAGTGCCTGCAGTCCACACAGCAGATCAGAGCTGCCTGGGAGCTGTTTGTTCTCTCAGAAAGGTAGCTCAAATGCAAAGAGAAGATATCCCATTAATAGGGTGTGGGGGCGTCCTGAATTAGAAGTCTTGCCTCACAGGAGGTATAGACTTTAAGATAGCTGCCTAGTAAATCTTTCATCAGATATAGTTGTGTACCTATTCTTCCTTAGAAGAAAAGATAGTCATTTATATGATACAATTAGCTGCATATAGTATAGTTAAGAAACATAGGAAGATTTAGGTAAAGTGCTACGGATTTTCCGAACTGGTAAAGATTACTTTCAGCTGGGGAGATAATG